CCCCCCCCCCCTCAAAAAAATTTATTAGTCACTGAGAGCGACTAAAGGCTACACAAGCGTTTTGTCGTTATCGGAAAATGTATGGCTTATAAGTTGTCATTACTCATGCATTAGTGAATGCGCGTATACATGAAACTGTCTTTTACAGTTTCAATATTAGTTTGTAAATCTCTGAATGGTAAAACTTGCCAATACTCCAATAATACGTTTCAAAAAAGACAAAAAAGCTTTAGTTTTGCAAAGTTAAATTCTCAAACGTGTAAAGGCCCACACAGACCGGACGCGATTCGGCAACGCGACGCGAATTTTCAGTTTTCAAAAACAAATAAAACCGTCAACGGATAAAAATTTTACAAGGTATGCAGACCAAATAGCTAAAATTGCTAAGTGGTCCCGAATATTTGAAAAACAATGAAAAATATTAAAGTTAAATGTCATTGAAAACTGAAAATTCGCGTCGCGTTGCCAAATAGCGTCCGGTCTGTATGGGCCTTAAGGCACCAATAAGATGAAAGTATCACGAAATTATTTGAATAAACCACATCGCATATATGAGGGGCGAATATCCTAAAGGGGGGGGGCGATATTCCTGGGGCATTCGCCCCTCTGGGGGGGGGGCGATATTCCTAGGATATTCGTCCCCCGGGGGCGGTATTCCTAGGAATATCGCCCCCTTTTGAGAGGGGGCGAATCTCCTGGGGGGGGGGCAAAAGTCCTGTGACAACGGCATGGGCAAATAGCAGTACCTTTTTAAAAATTCTATCTTGCCCCCCCCAAATATGAGTTTGCCCCTCAAATGCCCCCCCCCAAAATTCTGAGGCCTGGCGCCGCCACTGAATGTGAATGAATTAATGCGAATTAATGAAGTCATTTTTCAGAAACATTGCTCGGTGGACTACTTACCTTCAATGTCACCAGATTTAATAAAAAACTCCAACCTAAGTGCAGCTCGTTTGCGCCATGTTAAAGGAATAATTCTGACGTATCTTGACTTGAGCACCGGCTTGATCTTTCGTACAACAACGCTCTCACAGTCACTGTTTCCTTCGTAAATCTGCAAGACAAAAATTTGAAGAGATGGGATGTAGTTATTTTTATTCTTGAACCCACAATTATTACTGAATTTTTTCCTAATTTTTTACTATAGGCTTAAAAACTTCCACTCAAGTTCTAAATTAGAATAACACACATATTATTAACCAGGGACGACAAATTCCGGGAAGGGCAGTTTTAAACATGCACCCATGATGCACTAAGTCAGTTTTACCAGGTAAATTACAGAGAGGCATTCATTTCCAAGTGCACGTGGTACTAATATTCGTGTTAAAAAGCTCAAAGGCCATATATCGAGGTGATAAATAGATAGATATGATTATTTAACCACGTTTGTATTGACAGCAAACATGGTTTCCAGAAAACATCTAAAAACATCAGCAAAAGTTTATAGAAATTTAGAGCAAATTAATACAAAAACTAAACTCTATATAACCTGACACGAAGATGACAAGAGGATCTGAAACCACTAGCTGCCTGAAGGACCATGGAAATTAATTTTAACTAATTCATTTTAAGGCAATATGCACGAGTTGACTGGTGTGTTTAAAAAAGACAGAACAAAAGTTTCTGATAATAATTCATGAAGAAAACACAAAAGAAATCATGAGCGCGAAGGAGTTTGTACGTAGTTTGCTGTGAGCCGATACAAATATTGATGCAGACTACATTTGAGATTGGGAACGATTAAGGTTACAATTACAAATGAATAATATATTTCTGAGAAAGAAAGTCCAGTCTAAAAAATCGAATGGATTCAAACCTGCTTTTTACCACGATATATTTGAGTCGTCCAACGTATGCCATCGTTACTAGACATAAGAGAAAACGTCTTCACAAAAGCATTACGTTCTTTTCCACTGCCTTGGAGAGAAATTTCTTTAAGCATAATGGCTGTACGGAAGTCAAATTCCAAAAATTGTTGTTTATCTTCAACACTGAATGGCATCCAGTAAGATGGTGAGTTTATTGTCAAATTCTTTGAAGTACAACAGTTGTAGAAACCACATGAGGAGCATTTCATTGGAGGGTCAAGTGTTTCAATCAAAGGGAATGGTTCGATCAAGGAGGCTGCAGAAAAAAAGAATATGTATTCAGGTTAACAACAATTTCGTTGACCGAATTTTTTGCGCGAAGCAAAATATAACTGATTCATGCAGCAATGTAAATGATGGCTTGACAAAACTCACCGCGAAAAAGTTGGGTTGGTTTCTACTTGTAAGCGGCGAGTTTTGCCAAAAACAAATTTTGCCTATATAATGCAAGCTTGGAGATTTTGCTTTAAAAAAAAAATTCGAAATGCTTTGATCAACGTATATATTGTCACAATGTTTGCACGCAAACTGGTCCTGTAAGTCCAATGCGTAATTCGGCTTTCTCCTTAAACCGCAACAACCCAGGCTCTCATTAGCGCAGAATGAGAACCTGTGTTCGAGGTCGGTTTAAACTTCTACCCAAGGACTATTCTTAAACTGAATACACGATCTTTTTGCAAAACCATCATCATATCTTAAAGCAATGATATATATTTTCTCATCAATATCAGATCAGATGAATATTTTGTGTGCATTTTACGCTTCTTCTTTTGAGTGATTATAGAAGTATTTGGTAAAGGTATGGTGCTTGATAGTATCTAACTGAAAACGCTCCTAATCAGATCGCCACATGTCCCAGCTGCAAAGATGAAAGCTGGGCGACAATCCAGAAGGGGGGCGGAGGTCCCACCACTACTTTTTGAACATTCATAATATAACGTATGTTAAATTTTGTCTGTTGGCTGAATCCATCCACCCCACTATTTTCCCACCCTTGTGAGCGTGCAACCACATCATAATAAAATGCTACTTTACTGTTTGACAATGAAAATTACATGTACCTTCTTTTTTGGAAAAAATTGGCACCACTTGATAATCAAATGTCTTAACTACAACCTGCACAGGAGTATCGTGTTGGCAAATCTCAGGTGATAATCCATTGTAATGCAACTCTGCTATCACATTGTTAGTGAAATAGTGATCATTTATCTTACTTCTTGAGATATTCGGAGTAAACACACCAACTGTCATGGATATTTTAAGTGATAATGTTTGATGCAGATTGAGATGAGAAATCTAAATGCAAGAAATAAATAAATAGATAAACAAAATCATATACATTCCATGTACGAAAATTCTATTCTCATACATAATTATTATGTACAGATGCCGTTTTAACAAGGATAGAAATAGAACCTCTGTTCAGAGAAAACGCGGAGAAAAATTAAATGCGAATGAGAGGACAAAGGGTCAAAGGGCTTCTTATTTTATAGCATGCCTTCACATAGATCATAAAGGAAACTCATGAATGATAGTTATAGTTCATTTGTCACCGGCACTGGGAAGATGTGACGAATTGGTTAGGTATATACGTCATGTCCAAAGATTTTAACCTGAACTGTAGTGGTTAAAAATTAATGCAGATGATTTCTTATAGATGGAATTTAACGCAAATAAATGTAATATAATTTTATATACATTTTATACCTATAACCTGGACTCTGTAGCTCAGTTAGTTAGAGCACCGAAATCGCAGGGTCGATTCCTGCCAGAGGACTTAAGTTGCATTTTTGCAACTGCTCCTGGTTAGATCTAAAGTATGTACAGATAAAATATGTATATCTAAATATATGCATTTAAGTTTATCAGTCCCATCGAACGGCATGATCAAAAACTCAATAGTTAGCAAAGCATTTTCTATAGTAGTCAAGATACCACGTTTGATATAGCGACGGAAGACAGCATTCGCATTTTTAAATTAAGCTCCGGGACAAAATTTCTCATGTTTCCTGAAGCGAATTTAGTAAAGAATTATGTCCAAAGTGACTATTTTTGTGTGCACAAAATTCCGGGATATGGAGGTATACCCACCTTAATTACCGTACGTCCAGTGGTGTTGGTAACCTCGTACGTATGGTCAAGAGAATTCTCTGAGGTCACACTTTCGAACTTCAGGTAGTCTTGTGTTAATATAATTAATTCCAAATTTTTAGTTGATGCACGTGAATCATAGTGATGAAATATTTCCACACCAAACGACCTTGTTTGTCTAGGAAACAAGATACAAAAATCATCACAATTTTTGCGAACTATTTGGGGCGCGAATTTGGATGGCTGACATGTTTTAAACGTTACGACTTACGTTCTGGAAATTTGAGTCTTCAAAACTTTTTTGGATTAAATATAATGCCTAATTTCGGGGATATGGAGCATTCATGGTTGAAACTCCTAATTTGATAATTAGAATATAGCTGCTGCTTCTAAACATTTGCCTTCAAAGGCACATGTCTAGACTCTAGGTCTCTAGGTATCCTTCTGCCAAAGTAACGGTTGGTAACTTTATTGACAGTTCGAAAGCGGTTTATTCGACGTTTCGATTATCTTGCATGAGTCATCTTTGGGAATCAAGACATTCTCGACGATGAACGCGTGCAAGATAATTTTATACAGATAAAGCACTAAACATACTCTTTAACTTGGTTTGCCGCTTGAGAAATGTATCAAAAATAAAAAAATTGAATGTTGTCATGCATAACGAAGTGGGTGGAATATTTGAGCCACTGATTTTTGAGAATGATTTTTCACTTTCCTTTTTTTTAGTGGAACTACTCGAAAAAATTTAAAACTTCGACACCACGAGAGGCATGCATGCCATGAATTTCCCTTTTACTAACTACTTGACGAAGGGGCTCGAAATGTTGAAGTGTTTTTAATCTTTCAGGAGAATGCTACGTTTAGACTGGACCTGCACCACGTCTGAGACGCCGTGTTAGTCTTAAAATCTTTATATATATACGTTAACATAAGACTCACCCTGCGCTGTAGATGGAATCGTACGAACTTTGAAAGGTGGAATTCAAGCGAAGATCTACTTTCACAAACGTCTTTCCACCACTGCGTACTGTAACAGGTTTTTGTACGACATACTGCGATGATTCATTATAAATTGCAGCAAAATTTAGCCAATGAATGCTATTCTGGAACATCTTTGGGTGATCTTGGGCTTGTATAGTAGCACGTACCACCATGTCATCATGAGAAGATTCTGCAGGGAACTCACTCACACGTTCTATCGCTCCGAACGACCACACGACCTGGTTGTTTCCTGCGTTGTTCCTCACTGTCTTTAAAACAGGCTTAGGTAATGGTTCTTGCAAGACGAGATTACTACCTATTTCACCAATCTCAACACTAGACACAGTGAACAGCGACGTTGTATTATATGGAAGTTTTAAATAAACATTCAAATCAGTAAGCTTTGTCTGTAGAGTCAACGTTAGCAAATACTTTGCTTTCTCTCCAGTCGCCATTTCATCTGCATTCATCGTGTCTACTTTCAACACAAAGGATGTCACCTAGAAATAAACGAGTGAGAAAATAAAAAATGACTCCATTTTGATCGTAACTTCCCAAAAAGGCGAAGTTTTCAATCAGTCACCTTATTCAGACAGATACTGTATAGTTTATCAACGATGACAATTTATTATTGAAGACTACCTATGTTCGAATCCCACATGTGAAATTAATAAATATACCCTTCGTCTTTTGCAATATAAATTAAAGCAGGTCTCACTGGTAGTATAAAGTTATCTGTTGTTTGATACGGAAAGGAGTAAACTAGGTCAGACATAGTCATAGAGCCTTTTAACAAGATGATCCGGCGTCATATTTAGACATGCATGGTGAAACAGGTTTAAGCCTGTTTTCACCTTCACCGCACCGAAACGTTGTTCTTTGTTTCGTACGGTATTGACACTGACACAAAAGAAATGGTACTGACACAAAAGAAAGTGCTATCGTACGTTACATACGGTTCAAGCTACTGAAGCTAGTGGAAAACAACCAATCATGCGTATTACACAACACTTGGCATAGAAATGCAACCAGCATTCGGAGGGTTCCATTGCCTTCTCATTGCTTTGAAAATCTCACTGTTCTCCACGCCATCCATTGTTTTATTTTTTAAGTTAAATATATACCAAAGAAAACACTGCATGCAGGTTTGCTTGCTTTAGCAACCACAGCCTTGTTGAAAATATACAGGCCCTGCCTGCCTTCACACATTAAAGATAAAATCATATTTCATACACAGGATTAAAAACTATTCTTAATGAAGTAACTGTATTGTGATATATACAGTAGATGTCGTACTTTCGGTATATATTTCTTCTCATACGAAACGCATGGAACTGCATGTGGGTCAGTCAAAACGATTCAAATAAACTTTAAAATGAATAAAGTCTCATATGCATGTCAGCTTCTGCTTTACTAAAACAATAGAGATATTTGGATATACATATAGCCATAGGTTTTGCTTTCTTGAAAAAGATACTGCAGTCAGTTGGAATTAGGTTGGATAAAGAGGCGTTTTATGCTCCTGGCATTCTGAATTTATGTTTTTCAAATGTCACGTAAGAACGCTGTAAAGTTTGAATGTATATATAACGTGCATTATCTGATGTGCCTTATGTGTATTCGCCTTCACGGTGTCTCGTATATCCGCCATTTTTGTCTTCCCACGTCAGAGAATCTAGACAAACTAAACAGTTTCAACTTTGAAAAGTCGCTTTTCGCATTGTAAATTTACCATTATATATACACACAACTACAGCGATAGAAAGTCGCATTTCCAGGGCGTATACTCTCAGACTTGGGAGAAGCAGTATACACCAAAATGGCGGATATAAGCCCAGTGTGAGAAAGACTAATTACACATTGACAGTATATCGATGTATTTATTATATACTACATTAAAAACGCACTGCCGTGTCGGTGGTTTTATGTGTGATAAAAATCATGTTAATTTATATACATAAATTTAGCTTTCATTTTCTCGGCTTAGACAACGTTTAGTTTTGAAATTACTTCGCCAATGAAATCGTGTTTTATATCTGATACGCAGCTCCGTGTTTTATATCTGATAAAGCACTCCTGCTCGTGTTTTAAATAGTATACATTAACTTGTAGGAATTAAAAATCTAGGTTAACAATACGCATGCATTGAACAATTCATATCTTAAATGACAGGTAACTATGATTGAGCATGTTCCTCGATCTTGTTGCCAAGGGAAATGTTCCTTAGGATCCACGATCCCGAAGTCCTACTTTTTTCTAGTGCTGAAATAAAAACATTAACAGTTGATGCAAATGTGGATTTATTGTTTGAAACACTTACCTCTGTGAGAGAAAGGAGCAACGAAAGCAGGAGGAGAAACGACATGTTGCAGAATCTAAAGAGCGACACTTCAGACGAAATTAATAATTCAACAAAAGCTACAGCCAGTGGCAAAACCACAAAGAAAACAAACTATGCGGGTACGTCACGTTATGACACAAACACAATGCAATTATGCTCAAATCTCAACATGGATGTGCAACGTAGGTAGCATGCTGCAAAAATACCCCAACCACGACAGATTAGATGTACTATTTAAAAAACGAGCAGGAGTGTTTTATTAGGTTTAAAGCCACGAGTGCGCAGCGCGAGTGGCTTTAGACCTAATAAAACACGACCCGCGAGTTTTTAAATGACTTCAAAAACGTATGCATAATAAGTCAAATCTTTATATAAAAATCTTTATATAAAAATCTTTATA